TATATATATATATATATATATATATATATATATATATATATATATATATTTCCACTTCCAAAGCAATGGCAATTAAATAACCTCATTTCTCAAATAATTTTACAGCCTTCTCTTTTAATAAATTACAAGTGCAAAAGAAAGGATTTGATCCTAGATTTACTTTCAGCAAATTGTTGCAATACATACATACATACATACATACATACATACATACATACATACATACATACACACACACACACACACACACACTTTCTGCATTATTAGAATCATGTAAATCAACAAAGATCTAATTTGAATTTGAGTCTCAAACATAATATAAATTGATTCAAACATCTGAATTCAGAGCAGAGAGATTAGATTCAAATTGAGCTGATAAAAGATTTTACCAAAGGCTTTAATGGAAAAAACATCAATATGTTTGTAGCTACATTTCTTTCTTTTTTTCAGGAGTGGGTGAAAGTAACAACAAACATGACAATATTAGGAGCAGAATAAAATAAAAAATGGGAGATTAGTCCAGCAAATACTTAAATGGATCCTGTCAAGGGTTCTGTACAATTCATTCTGAAACATTTCCCTGAACTTCTTCTGAAACAGAGAGTGTAGATGTGAAGAAAGCTAACACAGCAACCTCCCACTTGGCTAAATAGAAAATGTGCTTACGAATGCGAAAAATATCCAACACCCATTGAAAAACAAACATTTTCAAAAGTTCTTTAAAAGGTAGGTCTCGGAATGTGCTGATTGCCTGCTTTTTTGAACTGATAAATTTGTTGCCATGGATTACTGTCCCTTTATTCATTTTTTTAAAGAAGTCTGGTTTGTGTGTAACACAATGATATAAAGAAGCAGTTTGCATTATGCAAATTAGTCTATCAAAAAGCATCTTCACGTAAGTGTTGATGTTGTTATTGTTCAGTCGCTAAGTCCTTTCGGACTCTTTGTGACTCTATGGACCATAGCAGGCCAGGTGCCTTGTTCTCCATTGTCTCCCAGAGTTTGCCCATGTTCGTTGTGTTGATGACACTGTCTAACAATTTCATTCCCTCCTGTCCCCTTCTCCATTTGACTTCAAGCTTTCCCAGCATCACAATCTTTTCCAATGAGTCCTCTCTTCTAATTTGGTGACAAAAGTATTTGAGCTTCCATGTAATTAGACCACTTCATAATTAAGACTCACTCAAAATAGGTAAGCAGCAGAAAGAAACAAAAGGAGGCCATACGATAAGAAGGCATGGACTTGAAAACAGGTAAAAGAAAGAAATAGTAGATAGAATTAATCTGAGGGACTCTGTCCCGTTCATTTTTTCCTTCTTTTCAAATGAACCTGTCTAAACCTATTCTACTAGGAGAATAGGACATAGGCAAAAAAGAACAGGCAGAGTTTTCAGGGGTGATAAAACTCATGTCAGTATGAGAAACCCTTTTATGCAACTCATCAGCTCCTCACATCAGTTATATGCAGAGATCATCTTTAAAACTCTCCTAGTCTCTCTCCAGTCTTCTAATCTCTTTGAGCCAGTTTGAAGGTACCTGATTCAATTAGACACCATGTATTGATTCAAAGATTCAATTTGAAGGTGTGATTCTTGCCTTCAAGTCAAATCACCCTTCCCTAACATAAAAGAGAAAGGGGTTGCTTCAGCATTTACTCTGTTTGCATAATTTAAATTGTGTGAATGTATGTGAGAATTCACTTTGTGAAATAAGCAATAGGCCTGCAAACAAAAAGAAAAAAACCTAGACACTTACAAAATCTGCACTGCCATTGTTTTAACTCCCATTATAAGAAAGAACAGGTGTGTATTTTAAAAACAAATATGCTTAATCCTCATCTGACTCCCACCTACATGATACTAATTTGTGCCACCCTCTGAACATGACAAAACTACAATATACAAACAGCACAAATGAGCTAATGCTAAAACAACCTATACACAGGGACNCCGTCCCTGTCTTAATATTCCCTTGTATTTCATGTATACATAATCATGTTTATACTTATATCTGTTACCTAATTCATGCTTGATGAAATAATAAATAAAATAATAAAATAAAATAATAAAATAAAATAAAATAAAATAATAAAATAATAAAATAATAAAATAATAAAATAAAATAATAAAATAATAAAATAATAAAATAATAAAATAAAATAAAATAAATTGGGATTGGAGTTTGCAAGATTGCCTCTCAACCTGGGAGAAATTTAGGGATTTTATGATGTTTGTTATCAAAAGAGAAGTGAATCATTTTTGACCTACGTCTTATTTTAAAGAATTAGGGTAGAATAGCAATGGAGGTCTTTTGGGAGGCAAATCATTGCCATTGCTACCATAAAATGCACCTCCTAGCTTAAAATTTTGTACCACTGCAATATTGTAACTTAATTTCAGTGGTGCGATTGGAGAATACTGTGAAGTTGTATATTCCCTATAGGTTGAGAACTCTACATGGTTCTCCTATATTGTTTTCTTATACTAAATGGAATAATAATGTTGTTTTATAACGGGCTGTCTGATTCTACGTCTAGCAAGCTTCATTTAGACAAATAAAATATGTTCACAGAAACATAATAGAACCAAAAAAATTCTTGTACTCTAAATTCAATGAACTACTCAAATACCACTTAAATTGTCAAAAAAAAAATCCATGCAGCATGCTACTTACCTTTACAAACGCTGCAGCACTGATTTTCTGGGAGTACATAGTCTTTTTCTGAACAGTTTAATGGAGGACAGGTCTCTGTTACTTTTACTAAAATTCCATTCTGGAAATAAACAATGATTCATAATTGATAAAAATGAAAGTGACAGAGTCGGCTCATACTTCTTTTTATATTTTATAGCTAGTTATAGTTATATAGCATAAATGTTCTGCCAACAACATTGTAAACTGTCAGATAAATTTGATAAGTTAAATATATTTCACACAACACCAAAAAGTTATTCTTCTTTAACATTTGTATTCCCAAATTAAACAGCATTGAAACAGCGTTCCCATTAAAAACAGGATTATTCTTAAATTCAAGAGTGCATAACTTACTATACTTTCTATATTCCATTTAACTATTTTCATGAATCAGTCTTCCTGTCAGGCCTGCAGTCATATTCCTTTTAGGATCTTTGGCCTGCCACACTCTCTCTCTGATTTTACTTTCATTAGTTACTTTCATAATTACATTACTTTCATAATGTTTCATTAGTGGGGTAATTGGGAGGAGGAATAGTAAGGAGTAGAATTGTAGAATGTGTTCTTGTCAAAATACAGCATTGCTTTCTAGAAGCTCAAGGTGATCCTTTGTCTCTGCACCTCTGGACCTGACCGGAACTACATTGGTGGAAATGTCAGCATGGCAGAGGAAGATTGGGCCATGCGATGGACTTGTGGGTGTGGGGGCAAGGTTTTGAACTTTCAACTGGGTAGAAACCCAGGAAGCTTTCAGATTTGGGGTTCGACAGTTTGTACCAACATGTCTCTCTTATTAAATTGGAACTTTGATGAAAGCTATGCCTTGAACTCTGATTTAATTCTGGATGAAATGGAACGCTGACCCTTCCATTGATTTTTTGTTGCTTAAGATGCAAAGGTTTTTATTATTATTATTTATTTCATTTGTTACTGAAATGGCCTTAAACATAAATTTGAGCTTCAATCTATGACTTCATTTTAATCTATTGCAAAATTCAGAATCTATAAATTTGACAATCTTCAATCTATACAGTTCATGCTTACGTTTTATTATATGAGTTACAAACCAATCATTAGTGGCTTTGACCTATCCTGTTCAGTCCAATAGGAAGTGTATGTTGGGTCTTGTCAATTAAAGAAGATGGCTTGTGGCATCTAGGAAGCTTGCCTTCTTGTCCTGACACCTGGTCTCCAAAAAACCTTATCACCTGAGATCAGATTAGTGCCAGCCCTGTTCGTCATCCATAAAATGCTGAAGACCTGCTATTCGCCCAGCCCATATGATTGATATTGTTTGGTGATTGTCTATATTAGCTGTCATTTTTCTTGGATGTTGTGTTGTGTGTTTAATTAGATATAATATTGTTTTTACTTTGAAATGTTATTCATCATCCAGAGTTGCTTTGGTGAGAAGGGAGGGACTCATAAATGAAAAGAAAAATCAGTAAATACAACTATGGAACCCTGTACCCACTACAAAAATAATTAAAAAAAAAACAATTGCCCAAAATGCAATGTCTACTTTTTAAAAGCTGAAATGAAAAAAGACAATCGTTTTCTAGTGATTCAGGGATCTTAAATGTTAGCACTTTTTTAGACTGCATTCTAAAAAGAATTAATTCAGAGTATTTTTGCAACTCTGCTTTCCTTTAAAATATGGGTCTTTCCAGGGAACATGCAGTAGATGTACAGGGCTGATATAATAATCCCAGAAAAAGACAAAATGAATCTGAAGTGCTGCAGAATTCTTTGAAATATAACTATCTCTAAAACAGGATCAGGCAACTAGAAAAACAATCTTCTTGGAAGTCAAAATCTGTCTCTCATTTTGATCAGCTTGTTCATAATGAAGCATTTGTGTTACTAATAGTATAATTTATGTAATTCTGTTCATTATGGCTATGAATACCATCCATATCTCTGCAATATTTTTGCAAATATCTAAATATTTTCCATTATTTTAGCACAAAGACAATAAGCTGAAGTTTTATTTTTAAAAGTTTAAAACTGAAAATACTTCAAACTGAAAAGCTAACTAGGATTCATTAGAGCCCATTTATTTTGCAAACAAAAAGAGGATAACAAAAGGAAAATTACTTACATATTTTGGCCTCATATGGTCTATAATATTAAAAATAAAAATAAGTCCTAAAATCTAGTTCTAGTAAAACATTAAGGAATGTGATATAAGTTATATCAAACCAAGTTTGCACTAAGCAGCAAACAAGAATTTGGTGAAATATAAATTAATATAATGAATAATTATTTCATGATATATTCATTGTCTAATGTATAAATAATATAATAAACACTAACAAGTATAGTTAAATTTCTCTGAAAAGACTAATCAATGCTCCATAATTAAGAGGATTTCAATAGTTGGGTTGAAATGTGTCTGGCCCCAAACTTCATCATTGGCATACTGCCTCTTGAAGACTTGTACATATGTATATTCTTTATTTATTTCATCACTAGTTCACAGTTTCTTAATCATTTATATTTCCCTCTATATTCTCCAATTGCTTTCTTAAAAAAAATAATTATGGAATATACAGTCTGGAAAGGAAAGCATATACTCCAATCCACTATTATAGTGTCTGCTTAAATGATTCCAGTCAAGCAGAGTCCATCTTCTCCAGCAAATGATAATCCTAAGGCCATCTGTTCCAATGTTGAACAGCTTTTGCCATAAGGACATTTTTTCTGTTGTCCAATCAAAATCTACTTCCTTGTAATTAAAACCTACTCTCTCTTCTCCTGGAACAACTCTGAACAATTCCATCCTGAACTCTACGTGCAGCTCTTCAGATATTTGTAGACAACTACTGTATCTTTTCATCACTAAATTAAACATGCCTAAAGCCTCCAACCATTTAGTTTTCTCAAATATTATTACATATTTGATATGACTATTCCAATTGTATAAAGAGTACATTTGCAAAATTTGGAAATGATTTTTTTCATATGCTTTGTTATAACTAGCATAGTATGAATTAGCATGCTCAGTGTAATATGTAAACAACACTGAAATCAATGAAACAGATTAGATATAAAGAATGAACCCATCTGGGCTCAGTTCAATTTTGGGCTGAATAATCAAGCTATTTCCCTCAAAGATCAGGTGAGTAGTTCAATTTATGTCACTCCAACTCCAAATTCAATTATCTTATTATATTCTTGATGATAAGACTTTCAGAAGAAAAACAATTCACTGAGCTTTCACATCCCTACAAGACTCAAAAGTATTAAATGAATTCTGACTTAAGCTGGAGAAAAATTCAGCTGGGCCAAAAGGATGATAAATGAACTTCCTGAAGTCAGCAGTATTGCTAGCATAACAATCAGGTATATATTGTAGTGCATGAATACAGTCGGAAAGCTGCCTGGGAAAGCCAAGGGAAATCATCAAAAACATAAAAGAGCGAAAGTTAGAATATTTTGGACATGTGATGCGACACCCAGAAAAATACAGCATACTTCATTTAATCCTCCAAGACTGAAGGCAAATAAGGTCCAGGCAAAAAAAGAACATCCTGGCTTCAAAATCTAAGGGATTGGTTTGGATAAAACTCAACCACACCTTTTTGTTCAGCTGTTGATAAAATAGGATCGCCAAAGTCCAATGATGGATATGGCATAAGAAGAAGATGACACATACAAAATGTTATGCACACTGTCATGTAGAAGTGAAGGCAGATAACAAACATGTATGCAGCAGAAAATAACAATAGATGAGGATATCTTTTGTATTTTGAAAATCAGGGGCTCTACATGGGGTTGCCCTTGAAGTGCATCCGGCGACTACAGTTAGTCCAGAATGCAGCCGCGCGAGTGATAGTGG